AAATGGTTAAACTATTCATATCAATATCTGACAATAAATCCCAATGTTTTGGCTTCCATAAATTTATAGACTTTATAATCACTATTTCAGCAAGTTACCAAGATTGTTTACTCCTATTTTTTTTTTAACCGGTTTGACCTGTTGCGCACCCATGGTAACTATCAGTTCCGACATTTGGCCAAGTATATATCTCAGGGGTAAAATTAGCCAATGCACTACGATATATTCCTATTACTCAATGAAGGTATATATTGCCGTGACTCCATAAATTACTTGCAGATTATTCAGTAATGAATGCGAAATTCTAACTTTACTAGTGAATGTAGTACTATTGGAAACTGTTACATAACTGCTATATCGCTCTTAGCTCCAGTACTAAATTAGACATATCAATTCGTATCCTCTCACTTATGCATTATCGTTTTAGTTAAATTCGAAAATTTTCTAGGCTATAATATGGTAATGCCCAGTTAAGTCAAAGTATTCTTGAACGTATCCAAGATGTTTGCTGATTGAAAATTGGCTATATAATCTTTACCCATAATATCAAAGTAGAGTATTCTAACTTTAATCATTTGTTTGCTGCAATGTTACTACCCATTTTAAAAGAGCGGCTAATTTTGAAAAGTCAGAAGTGATAAAACTTATACTACAGAACAGTAATAAAGTGCGCTAATCGTTTGGAGGCCTATGTCTGTAAATCTCTGAAGAGGAGAATAGAAAAAGATTTTGTGCAAAACTTTTTTACATAAATACGATACTCTGCACGAAAGTCTCTTCAAACTCTCATCCCTTCTGAGGCTGTTCTAATTAATACTTATGTTTAATACTTATATTTATTGGTAAACATCAACAATATGAGTTACACTTTTATATTTAAAACATTTTTCAACCTTAATGAACCTTTAACTAAAATTTTTGTTTTCTTTAATTAATAAGTAATATAACTGTTAGTGCAGAATGTTTTATTATACATTTCTTCCGATTTATTAATTGTAGCTAATGACTAATAATAATATATGTACACTGCACTGTACTATTGCTACTGTCTGGCTTATTTGAAACCCCAAGTATATTTATAGTTCATTCTGCATAGCGTTATTATAATGGGGAATAATAATAATTTAATCACTATTTGTACAATCTTCGTGTCCAGTGGATGAGATCAGTCGTTGTATACTGCACAAGTTGTTTACTTTGCTAGATTCTAAGAATTATTACCTTTCTATACTAATTTTTATATAATATTAACTTGTGTTGCTCTAAAATTATCATTTTTCATAGCAGATATTCAAATTAGAATACATCCACATACTGTAACTTTAGCAATTGAGTGTTTGGACATATTTACTCATCGATATTTATATTGCATTTATCACTTCTTTCTTGATTTCACTAGCTCTATATGCTATGGCGGTAATAATAATACTTTCTACGAACTAAAAATTTTACGTGCGATGATAATTTACTGTAGTTAGGGAATAAGTTTACATGTGAATCTGCAAGATTCACTACCGCTATCATGATTGATTTGTTTATTATAAAGCATATGAGTATAGAAGTGATCTGCATTGCCTGTATATATGTTCGTATCTACGACGGTTATAGGCTACGGTATGGTACTTTGCAATTGAGATTAGCTCGCTATAAGATAATGAGGAGTAAATAATCGAATTATCGAATAGTTATTATTGAACCATAACTACAAGACACAGCATGTGTTGGCGTTTTACCGGAATTGACGCAAAAGATACAACATATTCTAAAAATTCGGATGAAATAATAAATAAACTACAATTTGTAGCCATTACATAATAAAACTTATTTCCTTCTGTATTTTTACTTCGAAATACTATTGATCTGATCCGACTATACTTTATAAGTCAAATAAATTTTAATTGCTGCCCTAGATATCTCTTACCGAATCATATTCTGGATTGTTGCATACAAACATGTGTTGCAAGTTCAGTCGTACTTTCTATAAAGTATACTATAAATTTTTCCAAACACTACTCTACAGTTTCAATACTGTAATAGCTTCGACCGATATTGTGGATTTATCAATTGCGAATAGACTAAACATTACCACCACAATCTAGCTGTAATTGATTACAAATTTCAACTTTATACACATTATGCATTAATTGCAACCATTACAGTTTATCAAGTCGATTCCTTACACGGTCGGTACAAGACATCCTTTTATATATGAAAACGTTCAGTAATTACCATAACATTAATTTAAGAAAATGAATAACTGAAAATATTAATGATCAGTGTTGAAATCTATAGAAAAATGTTCACTAATGAATTGTAAATTACTAGCATCATTTATAATTAAAATATGTAGATAGACACCTTGAAGACTAATATAATTCAGGCTTATTTTTTAGTAGCAGGCACTCCTACGTCAGGTTCATTTACAATAGCTTTTCAGTCCTGTGCTACATAAATATCGCAAACTTTCGCAAATTTTATCTTTATTGTACCTAAATGCAATTTGCATAACTATAAACGCATACGCAAATGCTGTAAGATGATAGAAAGTTATTATCGAGAAATTTTTTATTATACAACATAACAAATTCCATGAGAACATTATTGATGCAGAGCCTTATTATACGCCTATTGCTGGTAATTACAAATTGACCTTTGTAACGTCACACTGCTACAAGAAACGCCTAATAAAGAAGCGGGAGGTCTACCAGTGTATTATAAGCTGAGAATGCTGTCTTATCTGTTTGTAGGAGTAGCATTTTTAAAGTACTAGGGGGTGTAATTATTGATATTGTAAACAGTAAATAATGCTATCAGTACGAATATTGTCTGAAAGTATTGGCATTCTATTCATACGTAGCGTTACTAACATATTTATACTACTAACGAGATTTAATAGTCTTCTACAAGATGATTCAAACGTGCTTGCTTCAGCCTTCAACATGAGAAATATCATCAAAAATGTTGGTTATTCTTTAGTAGCTACAATAATGCTTTTTATCATCAATGTGCTGGTGAACTTTTCCTATTATAGTACACACTAAATGTGTATATATAATCGATTCTAATCTAAATTAGCCAGCCTTATCTGTCGATGATCGATTAATCAACAGCACTTAGTACTTGCTAGCTACTTGGTTAGAGAAATTTCTAGTTTATTAAAATTCGAATATTTATCTGCAAGTTTTATCCCTGAACTGACGCAATGATCATACCTAATGTTGTATTATGAAGAGATTTTAACTCTACTTTATTTTATCGACTTCCATTTACAACAGCTATAACCTACTGAAATTTTATCATTCGTTACGCTAACTTGCGCAAGCTGCAAGTACTTCAATAAGGACTACTAAATTCGTGCATCCTAATGTATTTAGTAGCCTATGACGGACCTGTATTTTTATCTGATTATGCATATGCATAATCATAATGTATTACTGCATAAGCACCGTACCAATCAGCGATGGCCGCATAATCGCAATCATAATCTATTCTGCTCCTCCCTATACAAATATTCGTGTGATCCATCGACAAAATTGACTTTAAATTAATTGTGGACAAAAATAAAATATACCTTACAAGCACGGATCCTGTAAAAGGATGTCATGCTGATTCGTATCAAACATGAATAGTATTAGCGATGCTCATCAAGTACGTAGATGTACGCATTCAACAATAATAATGCAGTAGCAAATAATAATAATAGCATGAGATAGCATTTCTGAGAGAGGAATACTTGTCATTTTCTCTACTTTAGCGTAACAATTGTTGTACATGTTTTAAACTAAATATGTTCAATGCTAGCGTGGATGCAGTTAGTTGGCAAAGTGTCCTGGCTTAGGGATGAAATTGATAAAGTGATCAGTTTATTAGGCATGAGAATATCAACAGCAGTAACATGGGCAGGATATATGTTCTCAAACTTTATAAATTAGTTATCACAACATCCGGTGTCTAACTCAAAAACATTTAATGCCGTATTCTGCGATAATAAGTTATTTTCCGTAGTTATAATTTCCTTTCTGTTATAATTATAAGCAAATATAAACCAATCCAATATTTCACCAGTGCACTAGAAAAGAGTGGAATTTGAACTTTGATTATACTTAACTTTATTGTTGACTTTTATGAGATATTTAAATAAATTTGATAATGAAAAATCACATAGATCACCTAGTTTACTTCCAAAGCAGTAAATAGTAATTTTTTATATTAACCTTTCAGGAAAGAAACATAACAATTGACTTGGCTACATTTGGTGTTTTGTTCTTTTGTTTCGCCCCATCAATATTTAATCAATAAGGAGTTAATAGCATTAGGATATTAAACCACTAAATCTTTAGGTATTCTACTAATTTCGTCTATTGTTATCATTACATGATTCATCAATTTAAATGGATGTCTTCTTATGGTCACGGTAGTGCTTTGAATGCAAGATAATCATGGAAAACAATACCCAACTTAATAAGGAAGAGATAGAAATGACGAAAAAATCGGACAACAAGGTGGAAATTGGCCTTGTGGTTGAGTCAACAGCTCCAACAGTTTATAATAATTCTTATGGACAGGTGCATACAATTCTTAATTTATCTAGTAGAAGTAATTATTTATTGTTACGATTGCATCTAAAAGTACTTGATTTGAGGCTCATTTACCAACAATAGCCATCATATGATACGTATTAATTTACTGACTACAGTAATGATAATTTCAATTGCGCCGATTCTATTACAATATTTTTATTTAGAATTAGAGTACATTTACATCACCTTTTTGCAGCGTATGATGATACCTTTATTTTTTATCTATACGATATCATGTAGCAAGGTGAGGTCTCAGTTGTAATTGAAAAAGACAGTATGGCAGCTCCAAGCTATGATCATCCTGACTCGATAGCAGCTCCAACGGACGAAAATACCCATCGGCATTCACACCGTTTAGCATGGTTCTATGAAAATAAACCAATCATCAAAAAATATTCCTTAAGAATCTTCAGTCTTGCTTTACTGATCGGCTATACAGTATACCTAGTTTTTGCTTGTACGATGGACTTCGACAGGGCGAGACCGCTTTTTATCATTACAATGGTAATTTTGGGGATTATCGTCTTAATGAAAGTATTGCCCTATATTACACCAACACTACAGAAATATATCTTTGGCCCTATAACCAATTTCTACGATAGATATGAGCACTACCTGAAATGGTTCGTAACAGTAGAGAATTGATGTATAAATTCTGTCATTTCGTACAATGATGGACATGTATCGTGCGTACTCGCATAATAAATGTATTCTATGCAATGAAGACATGAAGTTAATTAACTGAAATCATGCTATATAGTAAATAACGAACGAAAATTATGTCTTTATAATTTGATAGGGTTGTAATCTTTGGATTGATTGGACTAGTTATTCTATTCTTACTTCTTGATCAGCCAATTGTGCCTTATCGTTTTGCATCTTTCGGCGGTTTACTTGCCTATTTATTTTTATGTTGGTTCTTTTCTAAGCACAGATCTCAAGTAGGTCAATTTCAATTTATTGCACATAAACGAGGCAATAAAAGACAGAAAGCGCTAAAATTTTAACAGTTAATAAAATTAGGAAAGTAATATTATTGTCATGACTAAATCACTTATTATCATCAAATAGGTAAGATGGCGACCAGTTATTGTTGGTATTATTATTCAGTTTTTTATGGGTTTACTTATTTTACGTACCAGTGCTGGTTTCCAAGTGTTTAATTTCCTCGGTAATTTAATTACGACGTTTTTAAATTTTACCGATTCTGGCTCAATATTTGTTTTTGGTGAATTATACACGAATCATTTCTTTGCTTTTAAGGTAAGCTATTACTTTGGTATAAAAACTAAGTAATGATTTAAGGCAGATAGATTCTAGATAGCAATCGATGAGATATTGTACTGCAATCGAAAATACTTTAGAATTCATTTAGGTATAAGATCTGGCTTAAAAGTGAACAGCATATTTTCTTACCATAATATACACCTTTGATTATTATTATTTATTCTAACGAATTTGTATGATGTTCTAGGTATTACCTTTGGTTATTTTCTTTAGCGCTGTGATTACCTTCTTATATTATATTGGTGCAATGCAAGGCATAATTAAAGTACTTGCTCGTGTCATGCAAGTTACTATGAGAACATCGCCAACAGAATCATTAAATGCAGCCGGCAACATCTTTGTCGGACAAGTAAGCAGTTTAACTATTTTATAGCATGACTTTTTTACTATTATCAAAAACAGCTATCATGAACACATTATTTTTCAATTTTAAATTGTGATTCTAAATAAGTATCGTAGTTTATGAATGATTTCTGTACAAGAAACACTTTAATGTTGCGTTGGCCATTAAGTGGACGTAATATAGTATTAGTTTATTTTCTATGAGAATTTGCTGATATATGATACTGAATGCTGCTTAAAAGGATTGATAGGTAGGAATTCACTAAACTATCGTTATACTATCTGATTCCTTATTTCTAGACCGAAGCTCCTCTATTAGTAAGACCATTCCTTGCAACAATGACAAAGTCCGAGCTTCATGCTGTTATGACTGGAGGTTTCGCTACCATAGCTGGAGCTGTTTTAGGTGCTTATATTGGAATGGGAGTACCGGCTACTCATCTTTTAACAGCTTCATTTATGTCCGCTCCTGCTGCATTGGCAGTAGCTAAACTTGTTTATCCAGAAACTGAGAAGGAAATAGATTATGAGGTCAAAGATATTAAATTAGACAAGGGGTACGAAAATTACTACCGTAACGCATATCAATCAATGTTTATCAGCTATCTTGTACAGTTGGTGACGGTTCCTTAGGAGTTATACTAAAACCAGAAAATATTCGTGATTTGACGAAGCTAAATTGATCTTAAGACAGTAGATTTTTCTTTTATAATAGTTAGAGCCTTTAATACGACTAACAAGCGTGCTTTCTTTCTCAGTACCGAAACCAACTTTTTTGAAGCATTCGCTAATGGAGCCTCTTCAGCCATACCATTAGTAGCAAATATAGCCGCCAATCTGATTGTCTTTACTGCTATACTGAATTTCCTTGATGGTACACTAAGCTACTTCGGTAGTCTCGTCGATTATCCTCAATTCAGCTTCAGGGTAAATCTAGAGTCTAGAGTATATGCATTATTAACGTAATTACAGAATTTGCCTTTAATAGTCCTAATCCACAGTAATGTATTATATGGAATAAATGTTTTCTGCTCAAGTAATATGATGTATTTTGTTGTCCTATATTATTTAGTTTATCTGTTCATATTTATTCACACCTTTGGCTTTACTATTGGGCATTGAAGCTAAGGATGCTTTCAGGGTTGGTTTGCTTCTAGCTGAGAAGACTGTAGCAAACGAATTTGTTGCGTATAGTACACTTTCTAAGTGGATTGCCTTACGAGCTGCTGGTAATCCAGTAATATCTGTAAGTTATTGCTTTAGTTTTTCCGTGCAATTTTTTTAACTATAAAATGAACGCAAAACTCTTTGTTCCTTTCTTATACCAGTAAGTAATTGTAATATGAGGGGTTCTGTGCGTTACTGTAATTAGATGAGTATATCCTTAGTATGATCAGAGAGAGATTTTAAACGAAGAAGAATTCCTTTATTCAGACGTTGAGGAGATTATCAGCATGCTCTAGAAATCCTAACTTATATTCTATTGTATAAGCGTAATTAAATATGTACGCGTATATGGCTGTATTTAAAGGTAAACTTGGACATCAATATTGTATAGGCTGTATTCTTTTTAGATATTTTGATAGTAAATGCGTCGATGAACCTATTTACTTAATGTTTTATCATATTTCATATGTGCTGTTACCGTGGAGTTTAGTAAATATGATTGCACATTAGGTATTGATAATTATAATTGACAAGTAAAAACTATCGGAGGATTATTGATATCTTTTAATGTATTGCTGATTGTGAGAAAAAATGTACTGTATACCATATTTGTATCAACTTTTGTCGTTGTAATCGATTGTAAATTGTTATTTAGGTTCGTTCTGAAATTATCTCCGCTTACGCTTTGTGCGGCTTCGCAAACTTTTCGTCTATTGGTATTCAAATTGGTGGCTTAACCCCAATGGCACCGGAGAGAAAGAGTGACCTAGCTACTATTGCATTCAGAGCGTTATGCTCCGGTACCGTGGCCTGTTTCATGACAGCTTGCTTAGCAGGTAGGAGGATATCATGAAGCTTACCAATGTACGATTGATGATCATTAGTATAGCAAAGTTTATCTTCTCTGATCGTATAATCCGATAATAGTTTTAGCTTAAGACCTTTAAAACATAACTTATATGCTAGTAATTAATTTTCTAACCTTTATATTATCATCATGTTCTACACTTAAAGGTATGTTCTATCTTCCTTCGGAGGAAGGAATAAGAGTTGCAACAAAAATCGTCATCAATGCAACCGCCGGTCCATCTCATTAAAACCACTTCCTCTGTGTATGCTTTAGATAGGATATCATGTAATAGCAGATTGTCTCTAGACGATATGACATACCCATAAAATGATTTTGATTGCAATAGACACCTCCATTCTATTTAGCAATATACTTAACTGTACTATACTTTACATTGAAAAACATATTAGCATATAGATATCGAAAGTTTAAAGATAAGCCATGTAGATGGTATGAATGTAAAATTAAGTATGCTAACTTTGTTGTGGTATTTGTAGGATATTAGTCGTTCTGCGTTAAAGGATGGCATATAATAGGAAACAGATTTCCGTATCATTATGTATTTTATCCTTTTCTCACAAGCTGTTTACGGCACTACATTTGTTTCCAACCATATTCATACTATAGATAGTATAGTATAAGTAAGATTGTAATTCGTTCTCACTGAAAAAGTTTTCACTGTTACAGATATGACCTTTTAAGAGTTTCATAAGTATTATATTCTATAAATTAGATATCGTTATTCATTTTTGTATTGACTTGAATTATTGCAATCACCGTACCTCAATAAAATATGTCCATTTCTTTCCGAAGGTATTTTATGCCTTGGATTGTTTTGTGCGGTTTTAAATTGAAATATTGGCATTTCTTATTAGTTTTATTTTATTTTACTATAGCTTTCTGTATTAATGTTTTAATCCGTACAAAGGGTAAAACCAATTAACTAATTGGCTCTGTATACAGCTGTATTAAATCATTTTTTAATTTAGAATAAAATTCTAGTCATTATTATCAGAAAATATTCGTGTATGGGCGTTATTATAATCTGAAGTATGCACTTTTAGCTTTAATAAGCGTGTAAGCATGATAACTTTTATGATATGCATCGTTTTGGGATGTAACACTGCAGTTGGTACTGTTTGTGTGCAGTTGGACTTGTAGGTAGATAGGTAGTAGACCGTCATCGAAATAATAAAGACGCAGGTAATTTATCTACATAGTAACCATGGGCAGATTGGGATAAAATAAAAAAGACCGAACTTATACTCTGTAAATAAAACACTCTGCAAGAATGCTTGGCCTTGAAAAATAAAAATGCCGTAATCACTGATAATTATAATAACCTGAATCGCAGTTGTTAAAAAAAGTGGATTAGAAATGGAGGTATCTACGACAGATATTTTTGGTAATGAGAGTAAAATTATTTCCCTAATGCTAATTATGACCATGAGACGACTTAATTATGTGGAATTCAGAATTAAGATAGTCGCGCTATTTACGCGTGTCGGTATGTGAAAAATCTATGATTAAGCTACCTACTGTGAATACCATAAAAGGTTTCCCTTTTACCTGTCTGCTTACTTAACACTTTTTAATGAACACTGTCCCTATTTGGTCTGCAAAGCACTTATACTTGCTCTTGAATGCGAGAGATAGGGATCTACAGTCGCCATTAGGCATCGATTATACTAAATGTGCGGACATTTCCATGCCTGTATTTATCATTATTGTAATTATTATTACTTTATCGTGGTACTTATTAGTAAGTAAACGAACATAAACCGACATTATTGTCCAGGTAGTGGTATACAATACTATACAAAGTGGACAGTACATTGTCTACTTTGACTGCTTATAGCCGTATCCGGCTGAATAATTAATTCATTAAATTATATTACTACTCAGTACTCACTGTCAATATACGGTACACTACTACAGGATGTTACTTTGACGTTATGCAAATAAGGTAAGGGCATCCCACGTCGTGAAGTCCCTTCTAGTACTATACTAGTGTACTGTACGTCGGGTGTTGTAAATATTGTTATTGCACGCTTATAAGCTGGACACGAGCGAGTTTGGCTTTCATTCGCTTAAGTTGCGAAGAAGATCTGATCAATTTAGTGGATCACAGCGAACGTTTGCAAGGTAAGTTTTAATGTAAACGTAACAATTATTGCCGAAAGAAAGCTATACATGAGTATTGATAGGAAGTTAAACTGTAAATGATATAAATACAGTATTTATGTAGTCAAGAGATAAAGAACTACAATTTTACTATCTTATACAATAGAACAAGTTCAATTTTAGGGTTGGCTTAAATAATTTTATAGTATGAGATGACATTTTCATTGATTAATGAACTGCCAACGAATGCCTATTTAAAATAATGTTAAAATAATACTCCCATTGGCGTGTCTACTGTGTTGTCGTTGGAAAGTATCCGTAGTAGAATTGAATGACCAAGCAAACGCGATACTTCAAAACATATTTCATAACGCTTCTTTGAAATAGATATTTAATTCCGGAAAGCAGCGTACAATCGCAAATAATGAATAAAACGGTTAATGGGAAAACTCTGTAATGGAGTACGTAGCGATAATTAACTCCAGAAAGCTGCCTACAATCGCAAATAATGAATAAAATAGTTCATGGGAATACTCTGTAATGGAGTAAGTATACTGTAGATAATTATCTCCGGAAAGCAGCGTGCAATCGCAAATAATTAATAATAAAATAGTAAATGGGAATACTCTGTAATGGAGAGTACGTGGAGGTAATGAACTCCGGAAAGCAGCGTACAATCGCAAATAATGAATAAAACAGTTAATGGGACTCTGTAATGGAGTACGTAGAGATAATTAAGTCCGAAAAGCAGGGTACGTTCGCAAATAATGAATAAAACAGTTAATGGGAATACTCTGTAATGGAGTAGGTTAAGAGACTAGCAATAGCATAGGTGGTTGCTAAGATTGAATTATCACATTCTTTTATATCGAGTGATTATTGCTCGCATATTAGTAGTGTTAGTCGTGTACATTTAACTTCATATAAAGATAGATTAATAATATCTGCTATATCCATATATTTGGACATGACTATCATGGAATCGCGCCATGTATCTGTAGTACACCTTGACTGTAGAACTACAGTACTGTACTGTGCAGTAGAGAACCGCTCTGATTTATGTCACTTGCCAAATTTTGTCCATCATTTCCTCTATAAGTTGGTTAGAAAAGTTGACCTATGGATAGAAATATGCAGTGCTTGATGCATATTTTCTTCCTTACTGATGGGTTATGCTATTGAATTATGGCGCTGGGTAATACGCCTATCAATTGGGCCATTGCATTCGTCTTCATGGGTGTAGGCCCTGTAGGGCTGAGTCATTAAAAGGAATTTCTTAAACTCAAGCATTTTTTTCGCTGCTACAATCATGTCAATGTATTATCAAGGTTAATACGCGCTGTCTTTGCAGTCAATCGAAAAATGTTAAACGTTTAAAATATTGGTATTGAATTTACATGATTGTCATGGAATTGTGACCAATTTGGATTTAATTGAAGACGATGATGAACACGTCAAGATAGAACTACAGTACTGTCCATTACTTTAAATTAAGAGGCGTGCTTTCGACACTCATAACGCGGTCGCGCCAGAATGTATAATGTACCGTAGTATATTCTTAATATTCTTTAAAGAGGAAACACTCCGATTTTGAATCATTGATCTCAAAATTGGATATTTTACTGCTTATAGCAGACAAATAACTCCCATCTCTGGGCGATATATAGCCAAGGATATTATTTTATTATTTTTTGCCTCTGTTGCTCGACGTGGGTGTCAGGAGACTATGTCCGTCAGATTCTTGTCAACAAGAAGAAAGCGCGCTTCCGCCACGGTAGTCATTTACCTGTAACCACAACCGTGCGAGGGACACCGTTTTGTGCCGTAGAGTACAGTAGAAGTGTCATACTGTACAGTACAACTCCAGTGATGGAATGTGTCGGATATAGAAATACCCTCGAACCACTGGTACAGTCAGTATACTGCAGTATACCGCTAGACCATGCTTTGCTTTTATTGACTCACCCAAACCGCTTCACGTGATGATGCTTACTACAATGAAAACAGCCAATCCCCAATCTGGGCGTTGTCGTGCTAATTGTTTGGATAGGTGTACGTCCTGAGGAAAGTCAATTTTTAGACAATAGAAACATCGCGTATGAAATCAAAGACAATCACAATGATGTGACTCATGTGACGTTTCAAACTAGATAATACGTCAACTATCTAAGGCTCCATCTGGTTGCGATCTACTCCATGGCAACATGATAAAAGTTCATTTTTCAATAGTATTACTTATCCGCTATTGTTGTCATTGCTTAAGCATTGATGCAGTCGATCCTATTGTCTCTATTGAATTAGTTTTGTAGAAACAAGACCAATTACGATCGCTCTATTATTGACCGGATACGGACAAATTGAAGAATTTAGAAAGAAACATGTTGATGAGAAGAAGAATAGTTAGAGTAATTGATAATACAGTCCAATCGTACTATTTCTCTCTCGTCTCTATTCAAGTAGAACAGACATTGAAGACTATGACAACTTGAAAAAGTCTGTGGATGATATCTAAAAAGGAAAGAATCCAGAAAAAAGGCGCTAAAGTGATTAACAAATAGCAATAACATCAACCTAGTCCATTGAAGCCTATCGGCAATTGACCTCTGTATTTTCTAATTTGCCCGCCAATATTGATCTAGAAAGGGACTATTTCCCTTCTCAATTGAACTTATCGTCATACAAGATTAACTTGTAGTCTCTGCTAAATTGTTCTGACCAGTAATTAGTCATCATTATTTCCGTCTTTCATCCAATTACCTTGACAAAATTGTACGTCGACGACAACTCTTTGAAATACAACCAAGTTCCCAACTTATCACAGGAAAGGTAATCTTGGTTTGAGTAAACAAATACAATTCTTTGTGTATATATATAGAGAGAGAGATTTTAATTTTTTATTTTATCAACGGGCATAATCTTATCTTAGATAATCCAAGTTGGCAAGTTATCAAGTTCTGTTTAGATCAGTTTTAATTTAATTTTTTACTTCTACATAGCTCATAAAGCAGCATATCTCGATAGGATCAATTTTTTTTATATACGATCGATGTTGCTAGAGTTGGACAGTATAACCGCGTCGTAGCGGATCGCACGGTAACGAGTGAAAAAAATTCATGAATGTTATACCCCCCCCCTTTATCAGGACCAACCTGGATTAATTTTCTCTTTTAGTAATTTCGATAATTAATATTAACATGTTACATTCCTGTATGATATCGAAAGAAATCGTCACTTAAAAACAATTTTTTCAAATAAAACAATATATCAGAAAATAAATTTAAAGATATACACTCGTGCAGAACACATTCTGATACATTCGACATAGAATGGATACCGATCCAATTTCTTGGAATAAATGATCCTGGACTGTAAATGATTTACATGATCAAAATTTCCTTTAATACAATAATAAAATGAACTTTGCAAAGTATAGTAAAATAGAGATTTTATCTAAATTGATTCTGTTTGTAATTAATTGGAATAACAATTTTCAACATAGACCAGAATAGTAACAACAATGAAAGTTATACGGTAGTAATAAAGTATACAAAAATGACACTGTATACTGTACCATGTCCAGGAGAACGACGAGTCAATTTGTTACTTTTTGCAAAACTAAAACTATAAATTTCTTTGGGGGGGGATTTAATTCTTTCTATTTTATGTCTTACGATTGTATATTAACGATAATGATATAAACCATATCTAGATAGAATTAAAAGACTTGATTCATGATTGCATTTGTTTAACCATGTCCTCCAAAAGATATTGCAATCAGATTTTATTCTATTTTTATCCTCACTTATACTGTTAACCATGATAGTATTCTATACTATAAAAGAATTAAAGTTTCCGAGATATAGAGTGTTTTTACCTATCAACGATTAACATTGATGGATATTGCCAACAGCTATTCGTATTCATAGTGATACAGTCTTTTTAGATATTAATCTTAGCTTAATAGAGAAATTAATTTAAAACCGAAGTCATTGTTGAAATGAAGAATCAAAAAACAAAGTAATTTAATAAATTGTACGTGATACGACGAATGTTAAATTGCAATCACAATCAATTGCTTCTCTATGACCATAAACACTATCTAAGTAGACATAACACTATATAAGTTAATATATGTTTATGGGCCACCGAGACGATCACTTTATTACTGGCATGGTGTAAAATTCGTATCTTGTAACGTATTTATAGTGTTGTCAACATAAAATATTACAATATATAAGTACGTATACGTCGTACCGTTTTTCACAAATTCTCGGTAAAGATAGATAGCGATAAATTTTTTTAATCATGACAGTATAATAATAACTTATAATTTTAATACAATTAATGCAACTGAATGACTATTTTTACAGATATGTTTTTGGTTTTATTGAATTGTTTCATAGTAAGAGAATGATATCAATAGATTTCACAGTTCTTCTATTCCTAATAATTTTTTTGAGGTTGAGAACATGGTTATTTATACAATCTGATGTGAATATTATTCTTTCTTTACTTGTACGTGTAGTCCATATTGAAGCAATGGCAGATGTGGAAATGATAACAAGATTCGACGATACTGAAGTTGGAGAGATTGCTACGTCTAAATCTCCAATTCCATACACGTCTAAATCTCCAACTTCAAACACGTCTAATAATGGCCATTCTCATGTACAGGTAAATATTTAATAAATACAAGAGCCTTGATCGTATTTACTGTCTGTACCATTTGTCGGTATTTAGAAGACAGATATTTAAAAAAGTTGAAATTTGTTTTTCAGCCACGGCTACAAAAATTAAAATGTAGTAATGATAGATTGTAGAATAGTAGTATCGAACATCTTTCTGCAATGTTCCTCCTTAGTAATTTAACGAGTAATAAAAGTATTTATTTCTGTAAGTACATTGAGTACTACTATCGTCAAATAAAATTGTACATGCTTAAACCAATTTTTAACATTTTTTCACCTTCCATTTTTATTACTTAAAATTGAAATATTTCATTTCTTGAATCTTCAATTAGCAAAATGAAATTTCAGTTATCGTTGAAAATGATAACAGAAATTTATTAAATTCAAATCCTGATCCTGATGCAACAAAGGCTGCAAAAATCGACAATGACGCTTGGAATGCAAAATATTTAAGATGGATGGAGGAAAATAAAGCTGATATCAGAAAAATTTCTTTAAGGATTTTCCTAATCGCTCTATTGGCAGGCTATGTGGTCTTCTTAGTATTTGCTTGTACGATCAACTTTGAAAGAGCCAAGACATTGTTTATCATTACTATGGTGATTCTGGGATTGGTTGTCTTTTCTTATGTGTGGCCTTACGTTTCTCCAACTTTGTGGAAATTTGTTTTAAATCCGATCAGTTATTTTTATGGTAAACACCAACGCTACTTAAAATGGTTCGTATACTATATATTATTATATATACGTATATCGATATAGATACCAATTAAATATTGTACAAACTTATCATTCTATACCATAAAGGTACTTAATGTGAAAATTCTAAATTTTTTCTTTTGGCATCATTTCGATTAGGGTCGTCATTCTAGTTTTGCTGGGATTAGTTGTCTTATTCTTGGTTCTTGATCAGCCAATCATACCATATCGGTTTGCATCGTTTGGTGGTTTGCTTGTTTACTTATTGATATGTTGGATATTTTCTAAACATCGATCTCAAGTAAGTTAAGATGTAGACTTGTAAGAAAAATACAATTAACTATCAGTTATAGCTATACGTGCGTTATACGAATTGTTACTACTTTAGAGATACAGTAGACAGAATTAAAATTTAAAATAATCTTTCATATACATGTTTATATAATAATAAATATTGTTAATTTTAATAGGTTAGATGGCGTCCAGTTATTGTTGGATTTATTATTCAATTTATTATGGGTCTACTGATTTTGCGTACGACAGTTGGTTTCCAAGTTTTCCAATTCCTTGGAAATTTAATTACTACCTTTTTAAATTTTACCGACTCTGGTTCAAAATTTGTTTTTGGCGATTTGTATACAAATCATTTCTTTGCTTTTAAGGTACTATATTAATCTACTTTTAATAGTTGTTGTATTATTTATTATGTGATAGTAACTATAGCCACATCTATTTTAACTAATTCTGTACCTATGTAGTACTATGTAATATTTATATTATCACTATGAAAACTAATTGTAAGATATTGTTAATAGTAAATCATAAATTAACTTGCAATTATTTTTTTTTACTAGGTTTTGCCATTGGTTATTTTCTTTAGTGCCGTAATTTCCTTCTTATACTATATCGGTGTAATGCAAGTTGTTATTAAAGTTATTTCTCGTATGATGCAAATTTCTATGAAAACATCACCAACAGAATCACTAAATGCAGCTGGTAATATCTTTGTTGGACAGGTAAGTTAGCAAATTACGAGCATATACTGTATGCTAAAATAGTATACGCATTGTATAACAGTAGATATACACAAATTAAATTCTATGAAGAATTATAACAACACTAAAGTTTCTGATATTAACGATTTAAATAGACTGAAGCTCCACTATTGGTGCGACCATTCCTTGCTAAAATGACTAAATCGGAACTTCATGCGGTTATGACTGGTGGTTTCGCTACCATCGCTGGTAGTGTGTTAGGAGCATATATTGGCTTAGGCGTCCCGGCAACTCATCTTTTAACTGCTTCTTTTATGTCTGCGCCTGCTGCTTTGGCTGTTGCAAAGTTAGTTTATCCAGAGACAGAAAAGGACGAAGAATATGATGTTGAGGATATTAAATTGGAAAGAGGGTAAAATAATATAGTGGCTGCCATTTCAATTTTGACATCGAATTTTACGTTCGTATAATTTACTCGTTATTTTATTGTATTCGCACGTTAGTAAAATCTAAAAAATCGCTTTTAAAAAATTTTTAATTTTAAAGAGGAAATTAACTATATTTTTTATGCTCTTTATTATCATCTCATAGCACTGAAACCAACTTCTTCGAGGCTTTATCTAATGGTGCATCTACTGCTGTACCACTAGTAGCAAATATTGCCGCTAATTTAATTGTTTTCACGGCTCTCTTGAATTTCCTTGATGGTTTGTTGGGTTATTTTGGTAGTCTTGTCAATTATCCTTTATTGAGTTTTAGGGTAAGTTAAATCAAATTTTTATATCGAAAGTAGATATATTTTCTTCAAAAATTAGATATTACTTTAGCGATATCTTATTCTTGTCTAGAAAGAATCTATGCTAATGTTATAATCTCCGTTTAATCTAAATTGTATAGTTGATATGCTCATACTTATTTACACCGTTGGCCTTGCTACTGGGTATTGAATATAAGGACGCTTTTAATGTTGGTCTACTTCTTGCCGAAAAAACCGTAGCCAATGAATTCGTTGCTTATATTACACTATCTAAATGGATAAACGCACGAATTGCTGGCAATCCAGTCATTTCTGTGAGTTTCATTATTTCTATCTAGGGCTATGTTCTAATAATAATATAATTCTAAATACTTGTTGTGAACTACAAGAAAATAATGTGATATAATAATCATTCAGTTGCGGCAATATTATCGTATCTTTTGTATTCTTGACGACTAGGTCTACAGTATATCACAATTTTACTATACTATAGTTCTAATATTTAAAATTATAGGTTATACCATTAGAATCACACATTCTTTTTTAGTAAAGTTAATAAGGATTAGCTTGTATCATTGTGTAGCGTTAACCGTAGGGGAAAAATATGAATTTATTCTAATTTAAAATATTATATAAGAAACCTTATATAAACGTGATTTTTTATATACATATGTACATGTATGTATGTATGCACACAGAAGTAAAGAAGTATTTGTCTATTTCGTGTGTATATTTTAAAATATATTTGTAACTGATTTTAAAAGACTGGATTCCTTTTTTACATGATAAAATTTTAAATTTATAATATTGTTACTTTTACTTTATATAATTGATTTTGGAATACAGGTTCGCTCTGAAGTCATTTCTGCATATGCTCTATGTGGTTTTGCTAATTTTTCGTCAATTGGTATCCAAATTGGTGGTTTATCTCCAATGGCGCCTGAACGGAAGGGTGACTTGGCTAGTATTGCTTTCAGAGCTCTATGCTCTGGTACTGTTGCTTGTTTTATGACAGCTTGTTTAGCAGGTAAAACTATCTGCATTAAAGTTACTATTAAGATTTAGGATATCTTTAACACTAAAATTGCAGTAGTTGATAGCGATATATTGCAATGCAAGACAACATATCAGGCATAAATTACAAATAGTAATCGTTAAAATACGTAATGATTGTCCGGTTAAATTTACTTGTTAATGATTTTAGGCATGTTTTACGTTCCTGCTGTGTCTATTAACCAAGGATTCGTTAATGCTACGAATGCTACGGATATTACGACTGCGATATTTAATTCAACTGTTATACCATCAACCAGTTAAATGGCTATGATAGACATTCATTGAAGCTAATTTCGAAACATATTAGCGAGGATTGGTTATCATACATTGGTAAAAATACTACTTGGTGAAAGATATTTGTAATAAGTGATTATTTTAACTAGTTACGATTTGATATCGGTTCACATATAGAAATAATGATAAAGTAATAAGAATTTATGATAGGTGGCCAGAACCCAGCTCTATCTACTATTAAGAAATTATATTACTAATAAAATATTCGTATGACTATGCTACACGAAAAAAGGCGATCAACGATAAAAAAAAATGAATTTTTTTCTTCATTATGATGTATTATATCTATCATATACTTGCTCATATATTACATATCATAACAACATCAATCAATTTTGTAATTTCTAACTTAACTCGTAAGCTATTCCACCATTGAAGAATATAGTGAAAATCAATATTATGGCCTAACCATACTGCTATGGGATACACATTGACGTCAATTACGTGTCCGACAATAGTTTGGACTGCTTTAGTCCTGTTAGTATGGTGTTTTTCTAATGGTTCTTCTTCGACAAGTCTTTGGTATTTAAATTTAAATTTTAATAACATACGTTACAGTTAATTTTCTATTCACGTATGTATTGGTATTAACAATGCTTTTTGGCCTGGTATGAATTACATACATGTACTCACGTTAAAATCAACATTGAATAAATAAATAAATTTTAAATGTTGATTGAATGTTATCCTTGTTATAATTATTACGAATAGTATCGATATTATCTGGGACAGCGACCACTAAAATTGTGAACTGTAGTGCCGTAGAGTTTCGCAACAAATCTTATTATAATTATTTCCTATGCTAGAGTGATTAAGAACTTGAGATTGAGCCTGAGCTAAGTTACAAAATAGTATTGAAAAGTTGTACTGACAGAAATATTGTACCATCTAAGGAGCAGGCCTCCTACTCGTCGATGTGCAGTTAACACACACATAGGGTAGATTAAAATACGCACTTGTGCTGCTTGAACAGTACCCTAATTATTCCTAGCGTACAATTAAAACCTCTGAACAGAGTCAACTGTAGAGCGATATACGCAAATAATAATTTATACTCCAACAAGAGTCTAATTTACAGTACTTCTAACATCGTTGACACTTGACATTGGTACGAAGAATAAGCAAATTGCCGATGGATTAATAAATATTACACGTACGAGTAAGTTGGTCGATTTTTATCTTAAAATTAGGTAAATGGAGTTTTAATCCGTACTGAGTAACTTGCATACGTAAATTGTATTAAAATTTAATCAGCTCTGATTACACAATTGAATAACATTTTAAACAGGGTCGGATGCAAGTTAGAGGTAATAGCATTGATTTGTTCTTGTAATTTTATTCTAAAGTCATTTTTACACTTAAGAAGGTCATATTTGATGTTAATACGCGTAGTATGGAGGATAGTTAATATACCGTTTAATAAATACTTGACGTAAATTGGTAAATACTATTCCAAAATTCTATAAATACTTAAAATCGGTATAAAAATTCGCTCCCAGATTATTTACGAATGATAAATTGCAATTTCACCTTGTAAGGTGTCATGTGCAATTAGGAAATGGTTAAACAGAATATACCATGACCAACTGTGAAAATCATTTTTACAGTATAGGCCCTTAAATCATATACAGTATCTGGTCTTGGGCAGTACAACAATGTAAAGAATAGACAAGTTTCCTCTGACAAATTCATTTCATCACAAAATCAAAAGTAGGATATACATGATAATAGGTTGATACCATGAAATTTTCTACTCACATCACCTAACAATCTTTTCTTATCTCGTATCCTTAAAATTTCTATGTGCTATTCCTTCATATCAATCCTTGTGAGTGAAGAATTGGTGAAGAAATAGTTACAAATTCGATTCATCTTCGCAGTCAGTATTAGGCAAGTAGATTACTAAAAGTTTGTATATGCTCACATTAATATCCTTAATTGCTGATATTATTGTACAATACAATTTGTGATTTCTGTATAAAAAAATCAGTAAATTTCGTCGCATATAATATGCAATTACTTCTGTTTATTATTTTATTTTGTTAATGTGTAAGTAAAAGAGGAAGAATTAGCTACAAGCTTGATCGAATTTGGCTATCATTATTACAGATTAACAAAAATTATTCCTTGATCATATGCGCAATCACCAAAGACAATCGAAATTTGTAGTTTTATTCCTGATATCCATGATTACCTATCGCTTGACAATAGGTAATTTTTATAGTTAAGCAAAAGGAAATAACGAATTTTATTTCATGTTGTACTGCAATCTAGGAATGTTACTTCTCATTATTAATCCACTAGTATAAGCTGAAGAATTTTCTATGAATTTCATTGTATAGACTACCCAAAATTGACCTGTATATGGGTAGCTTGGAAACAGTATCTACGAAATTATATTGCCTATATTTGGTCTAGCTTTAACTTACACTACCGAACGAGAAAAATACGGCTTAAATTAATTCCTATTTGGCCCTACTTTATGGAATGTACAGTAATCCGATAACGTGATGTTGTTAATTAAATTAAAGGCTGCCCGCTGAATATCACTAGTCAAATCAATAAAAATTTATAGATATTGCCAAGCCGAATTTTATTCAATTTAGTAATAAGAGACGCTAAAAGAGCATATGTTTAGAAATTCACGTATATTGTATAGCGTATTACAATGCCAAAAATTTATCTGCAAATAAATAAAATTTATGAATTGGCTGGGTTTGCAATTAGAAAGATTGCCCAGTCTATCGACCTTTTTAGTATACGGTTCAAATAAAGTATTAAGTAAGTTTTTGAATAAAGGTTGTCATCAAAGGAAAAAAATATCAACGTACTTATGTATAACATACATATAACATACGTGTTTGTATATATTATTATAATCGATTAATTTATTATATCAATTCGTCTTAAATTATAATACGCATATGAGATACACTAGAGAGAAAATGTTAATAGAAATAGCCTATCTTCAATATAAATTAAAAATGTGAATAATTTACATCTAATTAATGGGTATTAAATTTCCCTCTTAATCATGGTATTGATGAACGAACATGTGGTACTGAAGCTATTGAAAATAGAACAGAATAGAAATTTTTTTAGTAAACTAAATAAAATAAAGATATATGCTTCATCGAAAAAGGTTACAATAAATTGAAACATGTGTACGTTTGCCTATTTCAAATATTGTGTAATATAAGCGAACATTACCAATAATAAAGATTTATTACTATATGACAATTTAAACAATATTGGTACAACTATTATGTTGTCGTTATCTATTGAAAATTAAATTAAAATTCCGTTTAATTTTCAACCTGGCCATGGACTATCGACGTATATGAATCTTATTATTGAAATTACAATTACTTGACCATAATAAGCATTTCTTTACAGAGAGAAAAATTTTAATGCTGTATACTGAATATTACTGATTCAGGTACCTTCTCTTTTGATATGTTTAGGTGAATGCTATTGAGATACTGATAACTAAAAGTTGACTAAATTTTGAAATTGTACTCAATAAGTGTTGGAGAAGGTATACATTAAAAGATCAGTTCAAAAGCTTTCCTGCACAACAACTATTTGAGTAGAATTATCCCTTACTTTTAACGTATGAGAAGTCGTTATTGGGATAAATTATTACTTAAAACTGCTTAAATTATATGTATTACATAATGAAGGTATGATAGGCCAATTAGGATAGGCCAATTGACAATTTCAATAATACTGACCATAATGCAGATTTAATTATATCAATTGAGAAAAATGTTGTATTAAGTTTCGTTCGAATGGCTCCCTCTTCACTTGTTAAAGAATCCTTATTGAATATTTACCACTTGAAATTGTTTAAGTTAAATTGTACTATCCAGTGCTTGGATAGAGTATCCAGATACCGGTAAATTATAATTTCACTTCGCTGAAGTATAGGTTGCTGAAAGTCGTGAAAGTATTGCTGAGTTTACTTTATATTATAGTTTCCATTGCGACAGCCATCATAATGCAGTTTACTTACCGTAGGTTTTACAGCATCATTACACAATATGAAGAAAAATTGTTGCTATAGATTTATTACATCATGAAAAATTATTTTCTTGTAGGCCAACCCTTAATCAATTGATAGAGCCGTCATACAACCGAATATTAGTATAGAGTTTACCTAGTAGTAATATCATAGTAAAGTGACATTGTTTTTAAATGGATACTAGTATTCAATAGATATATTGAGTCATCGCAGAGACTGATATCGTAGTAAATAGCCCAAGTACCTCTGACAAATTTGTATTATCGTAAATTAAAAAAGGAAGGACCATCATGATCACTACCGAAAGTACCTTACTTAAGAACCTTTAATACTGTCACGCTATATAAGTGTTATATCTATTTTATTGGATAATTCTTTGACAATGTACAAATAAATATAATAAGTATGGTAAGTATGGTTTTAATCTTCCTAGGTATTTTTTCAATTATTTAATAATATCGTATATCACAAGAAAATATTTACTTGTAGCAGTAACAGTTTATTTATAGTCTATAGACCTCTATCTAGCCATACACCTCTGATAAGAGAAGGGCAAGAATTAAAGCTATATAAGTACAATTTAGGTACAAATACATCAAACTATAATTTCTGTCGCGGTAAGCCAACTGGGTGTATCTTTCTTACTCTATGCTGTCATTGCAGAAAAATAATGATGTACATTTATCAGTAG